CATTACAGTGTATGTATATACATTCTCGTAATGCAGGTAAGTTTTGAGCAATTTTTTTTAAAATATCATGCATCTTGTGACAGCAAAATTATGGTGATGTCATAAACCCCTATTTCTATATCGTTTTTACATTAGTCCTCGTGTTTCAGATTGCAGAAAGCGTGCATTCAAATACGCCGACTTTTCATTGATCCATGTTTATCATGAACTTCAATATCCCCGTGTTTATTTGGGAAAAAAGGGGGGGGGGGGTACGCTTGAGCTACATATTTTTCCCTCTCAATATATGACACAACTTTACAGATTTTGCATACCCATTAAATTTTTTATTGTAAGAAGCTTCAGATCAATGTTAATTAATTACGCTGTTTTTGTTGTTAATTATACAATTTTACTGGGAATGGAAAAAAAATATATCATATACGTATCAAACAGAAATAAGAAGATTTTAAATTGTTTCTAAAGTATTAATTTAAAATAAGTAATCATAGTTGGAGAAAAATCTTCACTGCAAAAAATGTGTTTACAATTCAAACACTTTTCTAAACACTTTCTTGTCACCTCCTTTTTTATATGTTTAATTTCTTAACATGTAAAATTCCTAAACATGTCTTAGAAAGTGTTTAGAATTTAAACACTTGTGTGCTTAGAAATTAAACATATCTAAACACATAATCACAAGTGTTTAAATTCTAAACACATAACAGCACATGTGTTTAAAATCTAAACACATCGTAAGTTTAATTTGTACCTGCAGAAAAAAACACTCTCGTAAATTTAGGCACAAAAATTATATGTTTTTTAAATGCGCATAATTGTCAAAATTTTCAAAATATGTAACCAATATTAATTATTTTCCATAAAGGCACTGAACGTTGGGATATGTATTTAATTATACAATGCAATGGTCACTGTGCGATGTACATGTACTTAATTTACACAAATAATGTAGGAGATAGAACTGAATAGATTTGATTAATCTCAACAATTCAATCGGAATGACACATAATTTATAACGTACACATAGATAACAAACTTTTAATCTTCAAAATTATTAAGAAAATAATATTAAGCTGACAATTTAATATCAAAACTTCATTGAATATTTCTAAAAGGCTTTATTAAAGAATTGTTAAACTAAAAATACAAAATGTATATATATATATATATATATATATATATATATATATATATATATATATATATATATATATATATATATATATATATATATATATATATATATATATTATAATCATATTTTGAATCGGCTGCAGAGTTTTCCTCATGTCAATCACAAAATATCAAATTTTATGAACTTTCAGCAAGTCCCAAAGCACCACATATTATAATCTATATCCCATCAATAACTGCCAGAAAGTAACCCATTTCGAATGCACGAGGATAATTGTAAACACTGTCGAATTAACACAGTAGTCTTCAACAAATGAAGTTTCAAAGTGTTGATTATGGAACAACATTGCACTTGAAGATGACACCAGGAACTCTGATACGTGTATTTTGAGTTCGATCTGGACTACGTACGGTGCCTGTAGGAAAGAAAGCCAGATTTTAGAAAAAGAACACTATCACTGATATTTTACATTACTTAGAAAAACAAAATTGTTCAAATTTTAGTGAAACTACACAGATATAAATATAGATGATTTTAATGACATTTAATATTATTTCTTCTCCTGCAAGTCTATGAACGAATTCAAGATATCCCAAGTCAACTTTATTTACGGTGCTCATCGTGGTTAATTAATGCAAAGAAGAAGAAAACAAACCTTTAATGTATTGCAGCAACAAGATGCCCTTTCATGTATTTCACTATTTCGTCATGGTTATCCCTTGAATTGGGTTGTCATAACTCTCATTGATACATCACCTTAGCTTGTTGTGTTTTCTTTGTTTACATAGCCGCTCAAATTAACGTTCAAATATATGTGTGTCATTTCCGGGAAGATAACTCTGCACTTTACAGTAAAACGTGTTTAATTTCTAAACGCGTTTAGATATAAAACATGTTAAGACATAAGCGTTTAGTTGTTAAACACAATGCTATACACGTTTAGATCTAAACATGTAATAGAAGTGTTTATTTCCTAAACACAATTTTTACAGTGTTGATTTCTACGGGGTATTCATCAGGATCATCCTACGATTAAAAGCTAGCTCTCGTTTTCAGTTGCTGTGTCTAATTAACGATTAGTTCAAAAAAAGTAAACTGTACTTTAGAATCAGATAGCTAATCTGTATACATAATCACATTTATACCCACAAAATGACTAAACTTAACCCAATAAAATACGGTAAAATTACACTAGATCTAATGCGTTATTTACATCAGTGGGTCTTTGTGACGTCATAAAAACACAAAATCAAGAACGATAAGCGGGTAATAAATTTATCAAGTGGACACGTTTAGGCCTTCATTTTTCAGTTAAGCAAAGGCAAATTTTTTTTACTAAACGTGATTTGACATTCTTTCATACCAGTCTTTATGTTTAAAAAGTAAAATCCTAGTGTTAAGAATCGTTTCATATGACCTTTAAGGGGAGAATTACAATCAAGGAGTGTTTGGAAATCTAATTGGTAGACTTAGACGAAACTACTATGATCAGATTAAAGCGTTTGGGTAGGGGCTTTGCTCACGCGGATAGTACAAAAGTTTATAGTGTTAAACTACGCGCCTGTCAAGGCCACATGAGCACAGATGAGGTGATCAGAACTTTAAAAGATTTACAGAATTCTGTCATGGAACTTCAGTATGACAGAAATGTTTGAAATAAAGTGTAAGTCATCAGGCTCGTTCTGAAAAAGGTGAAAATAACGAACAGTGATCGATCTCAAAAATTCACAAACAATACAAATCCGAACAGGGCAAAAACACGAACCCCTGGAAACGCCAGAGATGGGATCAAGTGCCTAGGAGGAGTAAGCATCCCCTGTTGACCGGTCACACCCGCCATGAGCCGTATGTAATTTAGTATTAAAAGCAAAGGCCTAACAAATGGTTTCAAACATGTCTACATTGCTGATTGCAAAAAAAAAAATTTAAATGTCTTCACAGATTAAAAGTTAAAAAGAAATGAAGAAAATTATCTCGTGCGAACGACATAATATCTCGTGTGACGAGATATCATTTCGTGCAAACGAGATAATATTATTATGTCGTATGAACTAGATAATAAGTCGAGCGAAGTCGTGCGAACGAGATATTATGTCGTGCGAACGAAATAATAAGTCATGCAAACGACATAATAAGATGTGCGAACGAAATAATTATAGTATCTCGTGCGAACGACATAATATATCGCTATCGCAGGCGAACGACATACTAGTAGAATTTTCCAGCATCATAATTAAGTAAAAAAATATTTGCATATCCTAAACATACCACCATAGAAAAGAAATATTGCAATTAATTAAAATCAAGTTTCCAAATTTCTTTTTCAGCTTTAGATAACAAACTTGTTGGATACTCAATAGAATTAAGACAAGGAAATTCTTAATTTTGTGGAAATCTGATTAAAATCAAATCCTTTTTAACGATATGTCGCTTAAAGCCTCGTTAAAAAAAGGAGCATCGAGGATCTGATTTTAATCATATTGAATTTTGTGAGCAAATTTATTAGAGATAACATATTATAGTAGTCATGCATATATATACTTTTATACGTTGTCTTTTTTTCTTACTTTTTGGGAAAGCATATCTCTCTCAACCTTATTTTCCACACATGATTGGCATGTTTTTCTCTTATTACTGTAATCATTTCACATTGGTCTATTTGCTCTAAATTAGAAATAAATATTCTGTCCCGTTAGGGGCGACCATTTGATTCTTAAGGGAGGGTTATTTATGGCACATTTTGGAAATAAATAATCTGTTCTCGAAAAAGTTGAAAATAAATAATCTGTCCTCGACGGCAAGAAAATAAATAATCTGTCCTTGACTAATGCTATTAACAACCCCCCTTCCCTTCCATGAAATAGAGTTTTGGAGTGTGAGCGGTTTTTTTTTCAGTGAGAAAGAAAATAAATAACCTGTCTTTGATCATCTTGAAAATAAATTATCTGCCTCGAAAAAAATTGCTAGCCCCCCCCCCTCCTCTGAATCAAATGGTCGTTCCCTTAGAACGTACTGTACATATTTCGGTTTTGTACATTTTTACGTGGGCAGCACTGGGGCAGTAGATAAATGAGTCAGTTTTGTTTTCGTAACTTTGTGAATTATGTATTCTATATGAAAAGCTCATCCAACCCCTTTTTGCAACATACCTTGAACAGCTAGTGTTTTTATGTTCAATGTTGTGATTCTGCCAAGACATAAAAATGCATGAATCTATTTTAAATGATCGTTCGTATAATTTTAGTTAAATTAATATATTTTCATTAATAAATTATGTTTTTAGTAAGTTATTCTCTAACTTAAAGTTTGATCCAATATTATACATATTCAACACCCGACTCTTTCTTTTCACTGAGTATATATATGTTTACATATTATGTAAATTCCTTACTGATGGTAAAATGTTAAAAACAACAGAATGTAGTCCTAGCTATAGTACAGAAGTTCAACATGCAGTTCAAAAGGGTCGCCTGAGCCGAGTTCTGTCGGGACCTTGAATGATTAAACATATGAAAAATTTAAGAGAGGTTGCATGCAGGTATATTATAGATTATTCAGTTGTCAACCATCAGTTTTAGTTTAAAATTTTGTTTTTAAAGGGCACATTTAGAAGAAAAAAGAGAGAGATCCGCTCCCCTCATATGCGAGAACGTTAGATGGCGCTGCAACAGAGTTCATGAGAACTGTCAAAACATGAAACTCATATTAGCTACACTTCACAACACTTTCGTGAATTACCCTGTATGGGTCTTTTACAATATATGTAACAATTCGCAAATGTACACTGAGAAATTGAGTTTTTCTTCTCATAAAAGCGATATACGCACTAAAAGTCCATTTGTTTTGACTCATTTGCCGCCATTTGTAAACTCTACTGTCGTGACGTCACGGTGTATTAGTATCCCTTTCAACATGTGGTACGAAAATAGAACAGTATTTCCCGAAAGAATGTAGGAATTTGTCGTGTTTCATTGCGGAGAGTAGCAGATGTAAGTCTTAAGTTTTCTTACTCTCAATCTTAACTAATATTTAGGGACAAAACGGTAAAATACATGTGTCATATCTTGATATTCAATGAGGTTCTTCTTTGTACAGCCAAACCGTTCCCAAAACAACTTGGCTGTTGACTAGATACATGTATGTTTTGAGTATTTGAGATTTTTAAAGATAATTGTATCGTATTTGAACGACTTTGCCATGTAATGGTTTATTTTCAAAATGATATCAACGAACGAATTGGTTTTGCATCATTGTGTTGTCAAGATAAAAGCTCAAATTTCGGGTTTTAGACACACCCTAAACCCCCATCCTAATACTTTGACAACGTTACAAGAAGTTATATTTTGATACAGATACATTATTATGATAAAGTCACTGTGACTTTACTTTATAAGTAGTTGGTAATGGTGTAGTAATGTACTGAATAAAAGTTTAGACATGTCACACACTGTTCACAGTTGGTTTCTAAAAGGAACAGGTGGACACAGATACTGTAGGCCTGTCATCGTTTTTAAGATGGTTGACAGTGGTTCTCCATACTTAAAAAACACAATATTGAATAATATTATCAGACTCAGTTGCTAAATGCTAATCATTTATAAGTAAAACTAAATAACATTACACTTTTTACTGCATGATATCCATGCATGCACTTTCCAAGATAGGCCAATATGACTGACTATCTATACAGCTATTTAAAGATGTTTAAAGTTTAACCTCACAGTGAGTTGAAGAATTATCTCAGAGATTTTTTTTAATATATATATGTAGTGGTCTAGAACTTTAGACACAATTATTAACTCAGATTTTATTTATATATGAAGTGGGTTGGACACAGTTCTTTAGCGATTTGGTATCTTAATTATTTTGACATTATAATTAAACATCTAAAAGAATTGGATTGTTAACCTGTTTACAATGATGAATGGGTTCTGAATGAGAAAACTGGTCAAGTAGGCCTAAATAGTTATGTTTAAAGATGAAACATACTCATTAGATTACTCCAGAAATAAACAATTATATGTTTGACCATTTAGTTTACATGTAAATGTTTGTTATTTAGAGCATGCAGTTTATAAATAAGATAATTGTGTCATTAAGGGTAAGTTACATGCAGTCTTACTAATAGTCATAAAGTATAGTACATGTATCAGCAGTCTCCTGACAAGAGGGAAAAATTGAGTTGTAATATTTCACTGAGAACTTGCAAATATGAAAATTACCAAGCAACTTTTTCTGAAAAATAAAAAATAATTGTAAATAGATGGTTTTTCAGCTCACCTGAGCTGAAACCTCAAGTGAGCTTTCTGATCACATTTTGTCCGTCTTCCGTCTGTCGGGCGGCCTATAAACTTTCATATTTTCAACTTCTTCTCCAGAACACAGGGCCAATTTTAACCAAACTTGCCACATAGCATCTTTAAGGGAAGGGGATTCAAGTTTGTTCAAATGAAGGGCCATGCCCTCTATCAAGGGGAGATAATAAGAATAAGTGAAAATTGGTGGTATCTTTTAAAAATCATCTTCTCAAGAACCACTGGCCCCAAAAAGTTGAAACTTATGTGAAACCTTCTTTACATAGTGTAAGTTCATCATAACTCACAGAGGTTGGGTGGATCACAATAGATAGTTTTCAGTAGACCCAAATTAGCAAGAGTTATTTCCCGTTGGCCGCCATATTGGGGGTCAACATGCTCATATTCCTTCATTATTCAACCAACTTTAACTTTTTATACTGGCCATTGTGGGGTAGGAAGCATTGTTTTTCTGAAATATATACATTTGTTAAAGCCTCCTTTATTTCATAATTTTTATTCTATAAAGATTTTCCCCCAAATATTTCTGCTATACTCTTTGATTTGGTAAGACAAAGAGGAAAAATTACCAGGTTGACCACCAAAATGGCGGCCAAGGGGAATAACTCAGAGAGAAAATTCGCCATATGAAAACTATCTATGGGTGATCAGTTTTACATAGGAATATATAGGAAAAAATCTTCATAAGAACAACAAAGCCATGGTTAGACAAATTGATAAGCATCCTCAGGTAGTGTAGATTCAAGTTTTTTCAAATCATTGCCCCAGGGGTAGGGTGGGGCCACAATGGGGGATCAAAATTTTACATAGGACTATTTAGGAAAAAAATCTTGAATTAAAAAATCTTCTTCTCATGAACACCAAAGCTATGTAGTTATATTGATACAGAAGCATCCACAGGTAATGCAGATTCAAATTTGTTCAAATCATGACACACAGGGGTAGGGTGGGGCTACAATGGGCAATCAGAGTTTAACATACAAATATATATTATAGGAAAAAATCTTTAAAAATCTTCTTCTCAAGAACAGCAAAGCCATGATGAGTCATATTAAAATATAGAAGCATCCTTAGGTAGTGTAAATAAGTTTGTTCAAATCATGACCCCTGGGGGTTAGGTGGGGCCACAATGGAGGATCAAAGTTTTACATAGGAAAATTTAGGAGAAATATTTTAAAATCTTTTCTCAAGAACATCAATGTCATGTATAGTCATATCGATATGGAAGCATCCTCTGGAATTGTAAATTTACGTTTGTTCACATCATGACCCCCGGGGATAGGATGGGGCCATAATGGGGGATCAATTTTTAATATAGGAATATATTGGAAAAAAATCTTTAAAAATCTTCTCAAGAACATCAAAGCGATGTTTTGTCATATTGATATGGAAGCATCCTCAGGTAGTGTAGATTTAAGTTTGTTCAAATCATGACCCCAAGGGTAGGGGTGAAACGATACACCTCCTTCACGGTTCAATACGTATTGTATAATTTTGTCTTGGTTCGGTTATTTTTGATACGATACATTTTTATAGAAGGAAACAAATTCAACGTTGTTTTATGCTTTCTTTTTCTAAATCTAGTCACATATTTTACGAATTTTATTTGCAAATTTACTAGAAGAAATTGATTAAAATTATTTGACTGTCAAAAATTATTTTACAAGCTATCAGTCATCAAAAATTTACGTTGTCTATACTTATTTATACTTAGTAACTTGTTTTACCTTATGCCAAACCCGACTGAATAACTATCCCGACTGAAAAATGAACCAAACCGAAAATTAGAGATTTTGCACCGTGTATCAAACTGAGAAAAAATACTACAGTGAATCGATACCGTGGTGAACCGTTTCACTCCTACCCAAGGAATAGGGTCTACCCAAGGGTTAGGGTAAGGCCACGATGGGGAATCAGATTTTTACATACTAGGAATATATAGAAAGTAACCTTTAAAACTCAATATTCTGAAAGTTTCAAAGTGTTTTTCCATAATAAAAATTGAGTGACACCATGAAATCTTGTGCAACTCTCTGACATGAAAGCAGACATCACTTAAAGTTTTGGGAGATAAAAACAGAATAGCAGCTAGAGGTTGAAGGCAGCAAATCCAAGATATTTTCTTTTAGCATTGTAGCTAGGTAAAATATATCACATCACAGTTACAATCATGAATAAGAAAACTATAACTAATTTCGTACATTTTTTTATCCCTGACTGACCACTGCCTCCATGATTCAAACTTGAATGAAGGCATTGAAGGGCATAAATTTTTAGGCCATCTTTAAAAAATTTTCTGTTCTTTCCTGACCGACGATTATAAAAAGTCTGACTTTTAAAAATTTCCTAAACTTCCAGGAAACAATTTTTTTCTTCATTCTGAAATTTTCTCATCCCATCAACAATTATCTTTTAATTCTATATTTGCAATTTTTTTTTTTTTTTTTTTGGTTTTTTGTTTTTATAAATATATCCCTTCTTATCTACCCTTTTTTTATTTTGAGTCGGAAGAAGACAAGTAAACAATTTTTAAGATGGTCTTATGTCAAATGAATGATTCAAGTACAGACCTGCTTATTCTCCCGATTTACCTGTAATTTTTACGATTTTTGACCCTCTTAATATAATATAAGGTTTGAAAGCCTAATCTCACAATTTCCAGATTTTCAGTTCTTAAATTATCAATAAACACTAGCAGTCATATGCTGTTTACACATTTAATATTACAGTTCTAAATGCCCAAATATATGCACAAAGACATCAAGATTACGAATCACATACACGGTAGTTATGAAAATATTTTGGTCTTCTACTTTTCTACACATCACTGTTAAAGATACTTCTTCTGTGAGAACAACAGTATGCTAATGTGTTTATTGTGAATTCACTAAAATTTTCTCCATCGAATTTACAAAATCTTTTGCATAATACATGTAGTCAAATCTTATGGAAAAATTTGTAGAAAACTTCAGAAAAACATGTTTTGGGCAGGTAAGTCTGTAACTATTCATCACTGTGACAATTAATCCACTATTTAATATGACACTGAATTACTCCCATGTCACCTTTTAGAAACATCTATAGATACATTGCACACAAAAGGTTCTGATTCTGTAGTATTTTTATGTAGTTAGAGTAATCTGCCCTTAGATCAAAATTAAATAATAAATTGAAATCTACAGTTTATCTAACAATTTCTAATCAGTTCAAGCATTCTTAACATGTGTACTTTTATGTAGAATCTTGCAAGTAAAATGGACTAGTGAAAGAAAAACTTGGTAGAGCCAATGATGAAATCCAACACCATGTTTCGAGACCAAGTGAATTCCTTGAACAGTTGGTTTGAGAAGTGGAATGGATGTGAGAAAACTGTGGTTGTGTATGGACTTCTAAAACACTTGAGTGCCACACAGATTAAATTCCTGGCTCAGGTGTTACAACAGAAAGACTGTTCAGAAGCAGAGGGACTAGAGGCAGAGGCCAATAACCCTGGTTAGTCAGAATAGTGTTCTGGGAATATCAAGTTCAAAGATCAAATGTTTTTGCTGTTATTCCCATTTTCTCCCATAACCACTAAATGTTTCATCATCACTCCCATTCAGAGATTTTGTTGTTGTTGTTCTCTAACAACCTCTAGTGAGCATTTGATTGGCAGTCTTGATGACATTATGTGCTTCTAATATTGTGACGTCACATTTTGTTATGTAATATTGGTTTGTGAGTGATTAGTGTAGTAATGATATACAGATATTTTGAAGAATTTTAGTAAGGTAAGGCCATAATAAAAAAAAAAATCCTAGATTCTCATCCAAATTTTTTTAAATATGAAGGCAGGCGAGCGGATTTTATTTTATATTTTTTATTTTTTCCATTGTGCAGATTTTTTGTTGACCTGATCAATCCGTGCAGATTTACATGTATCTATAATGCCTGAATGAAAGTCACAGTAGAGGTCCATTTAAATATGCATATCTCTTAATGCACATCATCACCAATCTTTCACAACCAATGATCCTTGTTTAATACATATATATTACAGCAATTACCATTTTCATGATCTTGTCAGTTGTCAAAATCATGCCGACATTCGCGGGATTTAAAACGAAAGTTGAATGGTAGTTGAATACCAATCCCGATCAGAATCAAGATGAAATAAAACAGAAATTAAAAAAATTGAGGCGGGGGCAAAAAATCGGGGTGGGCGGGGATGAGAATCTAGGACTTTTTTTATTATGGCCTAAAGGGGAAAAAGGTTCTATGATGTGTGCTCATTAGTTACCAGTTTTCTCCAACTCTCATTCCTTTACTTTTTAATTGTCAGTAGATACTCTGCAAGCCTTGTGTCTATCGACAATAAAAAAGATTAAGGATCTAGAATTGGAGAAAAACCGTAACTATTAATTCTTGCAAGCTATGAACCTTATATATTTCTCTCTCCTTAACTTGAGTCTTACTCATAAATTGCTCACCTGAGCTGAAAGCTCATGGGAGCTTTTCTGGTCACATTTTGTCTTCTGTCCATCTGTCTGTCCATCCATCTGTGAACTTTTCAGTTTCAACTTCTCCAGAACCACTGGGTATATTTCAACCAAACTTGCCACAAAGCATCCTTGGCCAACAGGGCTCTCAATTGTCTATAATTGGGGCTGTTCAAGAGCCCCATTCCCAATTCATAAAAGGTATCTTTTTTTCCCAATTGAATGTGTTAATTTTCCCAATAGTCAATTCTCCAAAAAATTTAAAGAAAATATAGTTTGATATATAATAACTAAACTTGCTATTCATATTCCTCTGTATTGCAAAACAAAAATTTAGTTGATAACAAAGACCAGAAATCCAATATATCATGATTTTAAAGTATGATGGTTATCCCAAAATTCCCAATCTTTACGGCCCCGGCCCCATTCCCAAAAAGTTAAGTGGGGTCAGAGCCCTGGCCAATGTGTGAAGGGAATTCAAGTTTATTCAGATGAAGGGTCATGTTCTCTTTTAAGGGGAGATAATTAAGAATTGGTAAAAAGGAGTATTCTACTTAAGTATAGAAGTGTGGTCCCTTTTTACACCCTTGGTTTACCGGTTAAATATTAGCATACAGTATTTTGTTTGTTTTCGTTGTGTATAACGAAGTATTTCTAATTAAAACATTGTGTATTAATAATGAATGATTAAACATAAAAAAAAATACACAGCGTTTTTTTTCCTTATATAACTGGTACTGATAAACGGTACCATTCCCAGTGCCAAAAAAAGTTAATTTTTCCCACTTTTGAGATTAAAAATTCCCAATTCAACTGCCAAGCAACAGACTATGATGACATCGTATTTCTTTTTAAATGAAACATTGTACAAGTTGACTAATTGTTTCACTTCCGCTTAAATCGAAATTAGAGATTAGTCGAGATATGGCGGGACCTCAGACCGACCTGTGGTGTAGGCAGCATATAGTGTCATACATTTTGACAAATTGAAAGCATGAAAATGCGAAAACAAGGGACATTGATATGAAAAACAATAAATACTTGTTGTTTATTCTTTAAAACATGGAGTAATAGGTTATGAGGTTGGAATAAACGTAAAATACATTTCATTTGTTTAAATGACAGAAAATTCTCCTTTGTAAGTTTGTTCTACTTCGATGCTATTTTTCCCAATTGAATCAGTACCGAACCCTTTCCCAATGGGTAGAAAAAAATCACTGATACAAGCCAATTTTTAACACCTATCGCACTAAAAATTGCCGGAACATTTTCCCCTGATCAGACTACGGTTTCTCTATTACATGGAAATGGGCGGAGACATTTAGATTAGATACTATAAAAAAAAGATCTTGGTATGATAATTTTCTTTCAAAGACGAATTATATGTTCAAGATACGCAATCAACTACAAATACAATTTTCTATTTATAAAACTTTGGCAATAAAAGCTATAACAAGATGAATCAAACATGTCCATGCTGACCGATATAAAACTGAGTACGTTTCAACTGAAAACTATAACGTTTACTGGAGGCATTTACCCGTAATGATACAAATCCACGTGGTTTGTTATGATTCTAAAAACAGGTCATAAAGAGGTTAATCGCATGTAAATGAAGTCAGCGAAGAGATTCAAAATCACAATACTTTTAATTAGAAAAAATAAAGCACAAGGTTGTTCAACACAGATATTTTCACTCAAACTTTACACATATAATATAGACATTATATTTCAAACTCAACTCTGAACAAACCTGTGCTTGGTGTTCATGAAAGCTTTGAAGTGTGTACCTGTCACTGATTTCTTTTGATATTCATGAAAATCAAAGGACCCTACCTTCAACACACAGCTTCGTATGCTGCCTGTATCTATTGTTTGACATTTTTAGATGATGATTCAAATAATAAATTAGTTAATAATAAAATTTAATTTTCAAAAATTTTAATAAATGTTCGAAATTTGACAAGTAACCTGGGACCACAGATAAGCCTTATTGAGACTTGTTCTATGATCACAATCACATTGTTTAAAAATCTCTGCAATAACCACTGGGCCAGAAAAGTTGAAACTTAAGTGAAACCTTCACTACAAAGTGTAGATTTAATTTTGTTCCAATCATATCCCCCACCCCCAATCCCCCCAGGTGGGTTTTACCATGATAGATCAAAGTTTTAAGATCATAAGATCAAACTTGTTCATTTTATTGTCTTTATTATTTTCACATCTTCAAGCAAGTTTGTTGTCTTTGTCATTGTAAAAAAATTGTCATGTATCAAATTATTATAAATATTAACATTTATTATGTACTTTTCTAGCATATATTCATCAACTGCGAACCGAGCCACAGGAGATAGCAGTCCAAAAACTGTTAGCCCACTTTCCACTGCTGAAAGTTGGCAATGTCAAAGCCAAAACAGAGTATTTAGCTCTTATTCCTCAAATTCTGACTTACTCCAATGAAAATGGTGCTTATGTGGAGGAGAGCCGACAGTTACTGTCATACTCCGTCATTCACCCTGCTCTCACCAGTGAAGAACATGCCCATTTCAACTGGTGGATCTCTCACCTTAATGAGCGTTTTACTTCCACCTTCATTTCTAATCCCCATCAACCATCTCATAACACAAACCCCAAAGGGGATCATTCGGACTTCACACAGTGCATGCCCAGGCAAGGGGTAACTGGCCGCACCAATGGTTCATTCTCTTACTACAGAGACTCTACTATGGAGGAAACCTCGTCACAGAACAAACTGATGTTGTCAGAAGAGAACCTGTCTAACCTATTTCATACCCAAAATAGCTTGAGCTCAACCCCCAACCAGCATCTTCCACTAACGGCCACTCTGTCTGCCCCTGCCACAGTCAATGTGATTAATTCATCATCTCAACATACCCATACTCAAAGCAATCAAGGTATTATTTTTGAAATGTAAAACCAAATGCAATTGACTTTTCTATTATAGCTTACATCCAAATGTGGTATAACTGTATTTCTCTTACTGCAGCAGAGCATGTCAGTTCACAAATTTAATTTTAAATGTATGTTTCAAGTAGTCAGAACAGTACAGTTTCATAAATGACATTACTGACCATAGCTTCTAGTTAGTTCATTGAAATATATTTACAGGTACAGAATATTGTACTGAGAAAAAATTCATTTAATTTAGAAGGCAAATTGCTGGCATTTTGAGTTTTGGAGAATATGTTGTAATTATTTCTATCTAATAGTAATACCTCTCTTTTTTTCACAGAGAATGTTAAACCAGTGAATCAACACAATAAACTGTGTCGTAAACCTTCATTACACCCCCAGCCTCATGGTCTATCCATGACTTCCAGTATAAATCATGTTAATGACTGGTTACAAAACAGTGAAAGTGAAGTGCCTTACAACCGAGGGCGGTCAAATTCACTGACCTATGAACAAATGCAGGGAGGGCACCCTCCCCTCTCCCCCCAGAGCAGTATTACCTCATCTGGGAGTAGTGATACTCACCAGGATATGGAACCAGTGAAAAATAGCTTCCTAGAGGAGGGCAGTGGAATGAGAGGTATTTGGAAGGTTCTTTATTATAAAGGGGAGTTAATTATATTTGTGTGACTTCAATCACCCATCATGAGGTGCCAAAGGAAAAAAATAGGGAAATTATATGCCCGTATGACATATGTATTCTGTGATGATTAGGTGTTGCTTAAAAGGTCTCTTTTGCCCCACCATAAAATGGCCGGGGGCATATACTGTTACCCTGTTCCATCATGATTGACTTTCCGTTCATCATCTTGGCAACAGTTGCACACATTCAACTCAAATTTAACATATGGGTGCATCATAGGAATATGCAGGTCAAGTTCAAAGTTGGTCATGGTCTGATGATTTTTGACAGAGTTGTCCCTCTTGAACAGTAGAAAAAAATAACTCTAACTTCTGTGGGGATGTATGTATGATGTTGAAATTGCATATGCAGGTATTTTACCAAAAAATACAGGTCAAGTTTGAATTTGGTCATGGTCCAATGATTTTTGACAGAGTTATCCCTCTTGAACTTAGAAAAATAAGAAATTTTTTAGTTTCCGCTCTCTTACCTATGTAGTGATGTATGTATAAGGTTGGAATTGCATATGCTGGTATTTTACCAGAAAATACAGGTCAAGTTTGAATTTAGTAATGGTTCAATGATTTTTGACAGCATTATCCCTCTTGAACTCGAAAAAAAAATATAAAAATTTCAGTTTCTGCTCTCTAACTTTTGTAGGGATGTATATAAGATTGAAATGTATATAAGGTTGAAATTGTATATGCAGGTTTTTTACCAGAAAATACAAGTCAAGTTCGAATTTGGTCCTGGTCTGATTAATTTTTGAGATCATCCCCCTTGAACTTGGAAAAAATTCATAATTTCTTATCATTTTCTCAGCTACAAATGTGCAATTTGCAATTTGAAATTTTGGCTGCTGGGGGGTGAGGGTGGGGGGCATTCATAATGACACATCTTGTTTTAAATGTGTAACTTAATGATGGTATATACATATTTGCAGATGTACCTACCTGGTTGAAGAGTTTAAGGCTTCATAAATATGCCTACCTGTTTCAACAGATGACATTCGAAGAGATGTTGTCCGTCTCAGAGGAATGGCTTGAAACACAGGTGAGTTAAGCTACATTTCCTGGAGTACAGAGCTTTATGCCCTAGTGTGAAAGAAGATTATGTTAATTTTGTGCATATATGTGTGCACAAAGATAGAGAATGTAGCAAATTTTATATAAAGAGATAAATATATTTAAAAATTTTATTTTTCAGAATGTCACAAAAGGTGCTCGTCACAAAATTGTTTTGAGTCTTCGCAAATTAAGGGAAAGACAGGAACTGTTAAAATCTATGGAAAAGGTAACAATTGATAATAAATACTCTTAGATACAAGTCAATTAATACTGCAAAACATAGAAATATTATGTTTTGAATCATTAAGTCTATTTCTTGACTTGATTTCTTCTTCAAGTTCTTTGGTTTAGTTGCTTAAAGGTAGAAAATGATGCTGAGTTATTGATTGTAGAGCTAATTATTATTATTATTATTTTAGGACATTGTTGAAGGTGGATCAATCTCTACCATTAAATCTGTGCTATCTGAAATGAAGGGTATGCTTAACACACCACTAAAGGCCTTTTCATCAGGGGATTCCCAAGTCCCCTCATCCCCTCCCCCTTCCCCCGTGTCTGACAGTGACACCATCCCAGAGGGTGATGTGCCAGGGCAGTTCACCCGTGTCATGTGGAAAGGTAAATGTGATTATAAATTTTATTTTTGGTGCTTAAGAATTTTAGTAATTGATTAAAAATTAATTCCATCTACAGCTGTCATTTTATAGGATTAGCCTAGCAAAGTTTTGTATCTTTATTGAAGCCACTTATAATTATGAATGATATACGGTACATGTATATCATAAAGCTGTATTTTAAAAAAATGTCATTTATTTTGTATAAAAATCAATTTTTAATGATGATGCAAAAATATTTATAATAGTATATGGATTATATTCAAGTACAATTATGATGATACCAAAAAAATTATTAAAGATACATGTACATGGATTTAAAGACTTTCCAATTTATAGTTGGTGTAAAATATCGTAAATGTGAACTGTTGACATTTCAGCATGTACCCAGTTACTAGTAACAACTCCATATGATGATGAGTGCTTTAACCTGTTTATACAAGTTATAGACAAGTGCTTAAACCATGAGGTAAAGATAGTCAGCCAAGTATTTTTTTTCCATGGTATTTGAAGAGATTTTCTGCAAAAAGGATTTATTTAATGCTTATGATTATGCAGTAAAAAGAAATATTTGTAATAGTTAAGATGTTAGTATAAGAAATTACTGTCTAGTTTTGTTTTTGTTTTTTTAATTTTTAGGGGTAATAAATATATACATTATATACAGCTGTAGCTTAATTTGCCGTTTTGCAAATCACTATGTGATCCAATGTAGATACCCTTTTAGACCTCTGAGGTCAACATGAAATAATTTTTATGCCCCGCCATGAATATGGCCGGGGCATATAGTGTTTGTCATGTCTGTCTTCCGTCCTTCCGTCTGTCCTTCCGTCACACTTTGCGTTTAGCTCTGTTCAAAGCTCAGTTTCAAAGAAACTATCCAAGATATTTTTATCAAACTTCATATGCTGATAGATATTGATGAGGGCTATGCAACTGCATCAACATTTTTTGACCTTGACCTTTCCTTTGACCTTGACCTCACTTTTCTTAAATTAGTGTCAAACTTCATATGCTGATACATACTGATGAGAGCTATTCAACTGCATCAATATTTTTTGACCTTGACCTTTCCTTTGACCTTGACCTCACTTTTCTTAAATTAGTGTTTAGCTCAGTTTTAAAGAAACCATTCATAATATTTTCATCAAACTTCATATACTAATACATACTGATGTAACCTTTTCAACTGCATCAACATTTTTTGACCTTGACCTTTCCTTTGACCTCACTTTTCTTAAATTAGTGTCAAACTTCATATGCTGATACATACTGATGAGAGCTATTCAACTGCATCAATATTTTTTGACCTTGACCTTTCCTTTGACCTTGACCTCACTTTTCTTAAATTAATGTTTAGCTCAGTTTTAAAGAAACCATTCATAATATTTTCATCAAACTTCATATGCTAATACATACTGATGTAACCTTTTCAACTACATCAACATTTTTTGATCTTGACCTTTCCTTTGATCTTGACCTCACTTTTCTTAAATTAGTTTCTGAATCAAACGTCATATGCTGATACATACTGATGTAAGCTATTCAACTGCAGCAATATTTTTTGACCTTGACCTTTCCTTTGACCTTGACCTCACTTTTCTCAATTTGTGTTAAAATGTTGCATTACTAATATACCCTTGGCGGGGCATTCATGTCCTATGGACATATTTCTAGTTTCTAAAGTAATGGCATAACTTTAATAGGTAGCCTCATAAAATATGTGCATGTAGCATAACTAGCAGTCATGAATACCTACTGTTCATGTTAGTGTCACCGTTTTTATGCCCCGCCATGAATATGGCTGGGGCATATAGTGTTTGTCATGTCCATCTTCTGTCCTTCCGTCCTTCCATCTGTCCTTCCATCACACTTTGCGTTTAGCTCTGTTCAAAGCTTAGTTTCAAAGAAACTATCCAAGATATTTTTATCAAACTTCACATGCTGATAGATATTAATGAGAGCTATGCAACTGCATCAACATTTTTTGACCTTGACCTTTCATTTGACCTTGACCTCACTTTTCTTTAATTAGTGTTTAGCTCAGTTTTAAAGATACCATTCAAGGTAGTGTAATCAAACTTCATATGTTCATACATACTGATGTAAGCTATGCAACTGCATCAACATTTTTTGACCTTGACCTTTCATTTGACTTTGACCTCACTTTCCTTAAAATAGTGTTAGCTCAGTTTTAAAGATACCATTCAAGATAGTGTAATCAAACTTCACATGTTGATACATACTGATGTAAGCTATTCAACTGCATCAACATTTTTTTACCTTGACCATTCCTTTGACCTTGACCCCACTTTTATTAAATTAGTGTCAAACTTCATATGATGATACGTACTGATGTAAGCTATTCAACTGCCTCAAGATTTTTTGACCTTGACCTTTCCTTTGACCTTGACCTAACTTTTCTCAATTTGTGTTTAACTCAGTTTTAAAGAAAACATTCATAATATTTTCATCAAACTTCATATGCTAATACATGCTGATGTAACCTTTTCAACTGCATCAACATTTTTTGACCTTGACCTTTCCTTTCACCTTTACTTCATTTATTTTAAATTAGTGTTTAGCTCAGTTTTAAATAAACCATTCAAAATATTTTTATCAAACTTAAATATGCTGAAACGTATTTGTGAGAAGTATTCAACTGCATTAAAAACATTTGACCTTGAACTTTCCTGTGATCTTGACCTCACTTTTCTTAGATTTGCATTTTGCTTAATTTGAAAGAAACCATTTAAGATATATTTATGTAAGTTTATGCACTTATACATAATTTAGCGAGAATTTATCATCTATATCCAACTTTTTAGATTTCAGTTTCAATTTTAAAGAAACTATTCAAGATATTCTCATCAAATTTCATACACTAAAACAAATTTTCATGTTGCATTACTAATATACTCTCGGCGGGGCATTCATGTCCTATGGACATATTTCTAGTTAGTATCACTTTTTGATTCATGTAGAATCTTTATTCTTTTGTATGATTGCTTCTGATTTTCTCAATGACTTCTCTATAAAATCAGATGATGAATAGAATTCTATCAGTAGCTTAATTAATAGACTATACAGTATGTTGACTAGCAATGTATTGCTTCTTATTCTTTTAAAAATTCAAAGCTCTAAAACATTTATGAGAATATATAAGGTTAGCTTTTCATTGGCAACTTGGAATCAAAAGCCACTTGACTTAATTGGCCACTTAAACACTTCCCAAACTGGCCATCTTTCACAGAGTTGACTGTATACATAATTCCATGTTATTTACAGGCTTTCTCAGCACGTCAAAAGAAGAGATTGGCTTCATGGAAACATGAGACCCAAAGAAATTGGCAACCAAAGTACACCGTTGACAGACGGAAACCAGGGTAAAGTAGCTTAGCTCTCCCCAAAAACTGAGTTTAATAAGAATGTAATTTGGGAGTGATCACATCAATCAAGATTTTATTCAATCAAAAACTACTTGGTACTTTGTCATTAACCCTTATATGTCATAGGGCACATACACCTTCTCTATTGATACATATATCACACTATTTGACCAACGATACAATACGTATCACAATATTTTTAATTATTTGCAAAATTTTTTCTTTAGTATTGAAATAAACAATATATTTCTTGACAAATAAGAATACTTTATTCATAGATGCTGTATATTTGTTGTAAAACAAAAATAATTTTACAAAAGTGGTATTAATTTTCATGATTTTCATTTCATATTTATATTAAAGATATTTTTATTTTAAGCCAAAAATGTTCAGTAAACAAAGAAAAATTAAGTCTGAAAATTTATTTACAATATTTCAATATTTCTACACATGTATCAATACATGTATCATCATCACAAAGAATTCATATTATTCATATTTCGATAGGTTGTCCTAGTCCTAGTATGGAATCTTTTAAGATTTGTCCTTTTCAATTTGTTACAAAGTGTTGCAGTTGAAATGAGCACATATGATGTTCCAAATTCATAAATTTTTTTGATCCATTTTGAAAAATATTGACAATGTCTTACTAAATTTACTTGCAGATTCGGAGGAAAACCATTTTGGAATAATAACATAGGGATACAGAGACCATTAAGATTACAAAGACCAGGCCCTCAGTGGAGTTTTGGAACTAAGAGGTCTATTGTAGGAGGCACAAGTAGTGGGCATGCCCCCTTGACGAGAAACAGTTCTCTCAACCCAGCTATCTTCTCACGTCCAGGGCCTCTAGAGGTATTTGAGTGAAAAATCTAATGAGTTCTATTACATGTTCTCCCTAGTTAATGAATAAGGTTGTGCTGGAACCAACCAGCACTTTGTTTATATATATTTTACTCTATGGATTTAATTATAAAAACTTCTCTAATTTTGTTTGCAAACTTTTGAAAGAAAAAAAAATAAAATGATGCAATTTGTTTTAGACTCAGAAGCCACCGGTGACCAGAACTCACTCTGCCCCCTTGAGATCTCAACATCATTTTGGTCTCAATTTTACAGGTGAGTCAGACATACATTGATGTCTGATAATTAAATATTTTCAGTACATGTGAAACATGTTTTTTGTGAACTTTAAAATTGTATCATTGTATCTTTAAACCTGATACATGTGTTAATCATGTTACCTTGTAATGATTTGATAATTTTACCTACATGTTCCATTCTGTTCTAGTAATAGAAATGTAGTTTTATTTTAAGCATAATTATACATTACCATTCAGACTATATGCCTGTTTCCTTGATAGTGCTTTACTGCAGTATGTAGTATTTACAACAACAAAAAAAAACAAAATCAGTATTCAATGTCACTCTTCAATTACTATCATTCCAGTAACAGCGTGTCACTTTGCTTGATCGAGCGTGATAAAGTTTCACATGTTGATTACCATATTACTCATCGATTGGATGTTTGATTTCAATGAAAGCAATTCTACTTTGCATATGAAATACAGAACCCAGCAATACTGACCAATCGTATTGAATGATTGTTCACGAGAATGCAGTAAACAATAATCACATGTGGACAGGCAAAGCAAGTTTTAATCCTTATAATGATGATATTGAGCGCTATATAGTATAATAGTAGCAGAGTATAGCCTTACTTATTTCATGCTTTAAATTTTCTCATACGTACATGTATTAACTCCATTCGGTCAAATCACAACAAATATGACACATACTATTTTGAGGACAGAAAACAGGCTTTGACTGACCACGTGTTGCTGCTGACTGCCGCACTGGTAAACAATCAGTCAATATGATTGGCCAGTGTTATCGGGGTATTGTTGGATTCTGCGTTTCTTATGCAAAGTGGCATTGATTTCATTCAAATCAAACATCCAATCGATGAGTAATATGGTAATCAATTTGTAAAACTTTAGCACGCTTGATCAAGCAAAGTGACACGCTGTTATTGGAATGATAGTAAAAAAAAATACCATTAAAGGTTCATGTTGGAAGAAAGTTCTGAAATTAGACACATATCTCTTGCCACTTTAAGTACTAATAGAAATGCATATACATGTATTTGACAAAAATTATGATAGGTTGTGACCAGTTAGCAGGTGATAATCTTGAGAACTACGCCCAGCTAGATTCCTTGTGTCTGAGTGTTACTGAGCATGCTTTGGGAAGTAGTCTTGGTGAGTTGAAGAACTTCAGACAAAATTGATTCAATTTGATGCTGTTGTATTTTATTAATAAGTAATAAATAATAATTATTAATGAAAATTGATTCAATAAAGGAAAAAATGAAAACAAATTTATATTAAAAAAAAAAAATAATAATAAACCTCCACCCCCTCGAAATTGAAAGAATTTCAAGGCAGCAATTTTTTGAAGTAAACACACAATGACAAGAGCACATTTACGGTAGATACCTTAAAAAACTTAAGTGAGTATTGGATGGTGACTGTGAATATAAGAAAATTGAAGATTTTTTTTTTTTAACAGAGACAAATGAAAAAGGAACAACATACTAGGAAAAGATGCTGAGTTTGTTACAAGCTGCTGTTCATATTTGTCTTAAACTGTCTCATGTGATGAGGCTGAGAAATAATCATCTCTAAGAAGTATATGATATGTTGATTTTTCTGGATGTAAATTTCATTAACAGTTTATAGTGCTTTTTTGCACTATAAATACCTATTTATTGGTGTTCTCTACCAGAAGTATTATTTATTGACAGGTCTTATACAAGTGTGTTCCACAACATTGCCATGCCTTACCCAATGTACACGTCTATTGCCACGATGTACATGTGTCTAAAATTGTACAATAACATCAATTTTCCTTACTTAAAATTTGTATTAATAAACCATTTCAAAAGGTTTAAGAAACCATTCAAAATAAATCATTTTTTTTATGTTTATACCATCATACATATATAAAGGATGTGTACCAAAAGTTTTTGTGCATGTTTTTTCATTTGATAGAAATGCATGGCAAAAAGGGATGTTAAATACTGTTTTTTAGCAGCACTGATGTTTACAAAAATTGTGCTATTGTCTACAAAGTGTTCTGTTGAAGCTGTATATTTTTAAACTTTGAAATCCAAAAAGAAATTGATTGTAGTTTTATCACTGGTTAATAGTAGTTTGTTAAAATAGATATTTTAGAGATTAAATGTTAACATTTTTTTTTGTATTAATTGGATTTGAAAATATAAATGTTAAAACTCAATTTGTTTACCGGTAATTACATTATACATGTATGTATTTTAAAAATAGTTAGGACCTACACTATAGTAAACAAATTCTTCCTCAGTTTAAACAGGTATATTTTAAGTCAAATTGGGGTTGTTGGGTTTTTTTTAGGAAAAATACATGTATTTGAAGATATAAAGATCTTGAAATTTAAATTTATAATATCAGGGTTTTAAAAAGAAACAAAATTATTTCATTTTTATGAGCCTCAAGTTTAGGCATGCACCATATATATATTTTTGGTAATAGATGGGACCAATACTTCTGTGCATTACATTGAATGTTAAGTTACTGTAAAATCGCTTATTTTCGAGGGGTCAAATTTTTGTGCTTTAAGGAAAAATTACTGGTTTAAGGGGAATTCATGGTTAAAAGAGAACCACAGTACTGTTGTATGGAATTTTAACATTTCTTGGGGGATATGAATTAGTGGGTCGCTTCACACCACGAAAATAACGAAAATTTTACCCCCACGAAAATTAGTGATTTCACAGCAAGTTGTATTTAGATTAATTCAGTTGCAAGTGTTAATAATGACGTAAGCATCAGTAGGAAATGTGTGTTATTTGTTTAAGGATTGGTCAAAAAGTAATCATATGTACAGATACAGAAAAAAAATCATGTTTAGATATTCATAACCTGTACACTATATGTACACCAATCAACTTTACAGAGCTGCACACCCTCTGTTGTGTGTTCATATGATACACAAGTCCTTATAAATTGCTGCTGGTACAGTGATTTTATACATGTAAATATAATATGTATGTGTATTTGCATGCTTTGTTTATGCATGTATAAATTAATGTAAAGGCCACCAAATGCTCTTATCCATAATTACATGTAATGTATTTTGAGCAAAAGAATGGTCAATAATTTTCATATTTACTATAGGATAGGATGTAAATTTTATAAATATTGAGTAGTGTAATTCTTAATTTAGAAATCATATGTAGTATTTTTATTAATATATATTGAGTGTAATGTGATAATGTAGTTTACTACTATTTTTCTGAAAGGGGAGGGGAACTTGCGTGGGGTGGAGGCCTCTAGACTTTGTTGTTATCTCCTTTATGGGTAACAAAGTCTGGAGAGGGAAGGGATGGCTTTAAATTCTGTTGTTACCACCATTCTAGGTAACAACAAAGTTAAATAATGGAAGGGGTAGGCTTATGGACCTCAAGACTTTGTTGTTACTTTTATGAAAGGTTTTTTCACAATCTGATTAAAATCAGATCCTTTGATCAGCTCACAAAGATCGCTACACAAGGTGTAGAGATCTATGTGAGCGGATCAAAGGATCTGATTTTAATCAGATTGGGTTTTTTCAGTACTCCTGATGTTAAGAGGTGAAGACTGTGGTGCATTTGAGTGGATGTTCAGAGATAAATTATTTTGTTAAAATGATGTTCTAGTATTGCTAAAATGTTGGAGGATTACTCTAAAGAGGTAGGCAATGCTGCAAGTGTTAAAAAGTGCATTCTGTAGTACACACATTTTAAACAGTATTTCCTTGATCAATGTTTTCTTCAAAATATTCCAATATTTTTGAAAAGGGGTGGAGTAATAGTCATGTAGTTTTATTGTAATTAAAAGGTGTACAGAGGTATATATGGCAGGAAGTACAACCTTGCAGTACTGCAACTTCCTTTTTGTGTGAGTGACAGTCAGGAGGTATGGTGGAGGTTAGATTTTTTCCCCAACAAATTTTTTTTTACAGAAATGAAACTTAAAGAAGGGCTTATGATGGTGTACTCATAATATATATTTTTTATGAATAAGAGTATTTGGTGGCCATGATTTATGGAATATTTTATGAAATACAGCATGGTAAGATTTTTTTAATTACTAGTCAGAGTTTACTATCATACCATAACCACATACATGAGTACAGGTAAATTAAACCATTTGAGAAACGACCTGAGGTTGTAAGCTATTCACCTACCTGATACTCAATTCAAGCTCAAGTTTTTTTGACTGCTTATATTTCAGTAGATAAAATCCCTGTAAGGAAGGACTATTTTTTAGGTCTTTATATTCTGACATAAATATTCATATCCATAATACTACATGTATATGTACATGCACCTAGAATCTAAACTTATCCATAAGTTTGACATTTAGTACATGTATATTGAATGTTCTGCTTTAGCTTTGGTCAGTGAACATTACATGTACTGATGGAATCAAAACAAGATTGTAAATGTTTGTTCAATAATGCTAGAATTGGTTAAAGAAACTGTTTAAAAAATTCTGGTATATTAGCTGTTACTATGTAACAATCATGGGGGATTACATTATGAATTCTTGTTTCTAAGAACCTTTACATGAAACCTCAGATATGTGATAATTAAGAATTAGAATCTCATCTCTGTCATTTTTTTTTTTTAAAGAAAAAAGGTTTTGATAGACTTTTGTACTATTCATTTGTTTGATCACTAAATTTCAAAATATTATATTTTTGTAATATTGTATGTGTCAGATGAAAAGGAAAAAATTATGATTATCCCAGAGTAAAGAAAAATATTCAGAAATAGATTTTTATTACCCTTTTATTATTATTCCTGTAATACAAGTCAAATAATGTCACTAAGGTCTTGTGTTTCTCGTTTGTCTATTTGCTTTTGAAACCTTAGAATTTTTTAAAACAAAGCAATCTGAAGAGGTGATATTGCACTAAACCGGTTATTTATATACTGTTGAATTATTTTTTCTCTAATCCAAATTTTAGCTTCTAAAAAGTTTGTGACAAAATATTAAAGTATGTAGTCATTATGTCTGTTGTGATTTTTACTGATACTGCTGGACTTGTGAACTTTCTTTCAGTTTTTGTCACCTTTATTTCATTACATGTATGTATAAAACATCATGAAAAAAGTCAATTGATGTTTGCAAAATCATTCATGTTATGTAAGTTACAACAGTTTCTGTAGTATATCAATTTGTCCATAATGCCAAATTTAACACCACCGTTCCCTTGCAGGGGGGAGTGTTTAGCCTGGCTGTAACACATTGTACTGTAGGTACACTTATAGAAACATTCTCTACACAGGGTAATGTGGAATTTTACGAAAACATGATTTTTAGTTAAAAAAAAAAATTTGCAGTGCCATTTAATTTTGTAAGTCTTGTACCTTTCCTTTTAACCAGCACGTCAAGTGAACGTTGCATGTTTGTTGAAGTACTGTTATTGGAGTTCACTCTTTGTTATCAACCCACCTTCTTTTTTGAGCAAACTATTGGATGTGCAAACACTGAAATCTGAAAACACTAAGTATAATTTATTTTGAAAATTATTGATATATAAATTCTCAGTTCATTACAGTATGGAAAATTACTTGAGTAAAACAATATCTGTACAAAAATGAATTTTACCTAGAAAACAAAAAAAATGTAATTTTAAATTAAATTCTTCAAGAATAATGTGTGAAAGTTTATTGTTATGTAAAATTTTGATTGTTGAACGTCACCGACATTAATCATTGACATAATTTCTGTTATTGAAGTTGTGAGTTCACGTTTCTTTTTTGTTTTCAGTGTTAGAATGTTTACGGTTAATTGATAAGTAATTGATGGTATGCAATGTTTTTAATTAGTGTTCTTGTTGCTTTGTAAACAATTTTGTCACATTTTCAAGGAAAATCAAATAAATTGGTTGTAATATGCCATCTGGATTGATTTGTTACCTAGAGGATTTCAAGTTTCCAATCATTGGGCTTACCTTGTTAGCTCTTATCTGCTTGAGGCTTATGTGAGCCTTTTTTATCAAAATTATTCCATCATCTGTTTGCATAAACTTTTCGCATTTTACTTTTGTGAAATCACTAATTTTTGTGGGGTTTTCCATTGTTTTCAAGGTTTGAAGATACCCACAAATTCAAGTCAACCACAAAATGTAAATTTCCATAATTATATATAAATAGGCAACAATTCTTCATTAATGAAATCAATCTCCCACGAACCTATACATTTTCATCAAACCTCGAAAATGTGATCCCAAGAAAATATGTGATTTTACAGTATTCTTCTGCTGAACCAGTACCAGTGGGTTAATTAAAATATACTCAACACAAAGCATTCTAGAGTAAAAGGATTTAAAATTTGCTCTAATGAAGGTTCATCTAATTTTGCTAGTGAATGAAAGAGAAGAATAATTGTGATTCTGTTGGTCCTTATTTCAGTGATAACTTGAAGAATTGAGGCAAAGCCACCAAAATTTACAATTTTCAAAATAATTCACCCCTTGACATAGGGGTGAATTCAGTGACAAACTGCTTGGTGACATATATAGAGTAATGAACCCTCTATGAAAGTTTATTCAATGTTTATCTTTTTTTTAAATAATTATAAACCAGAACCAGAGTTTGAAGTTAGATTTTCTCAGAGTAAAGTTTGTCTGGTTCCTTGGGGCTGGGTGAGGGGAATATCTTAAAAGTCTTCTGAAGAGCAGCTGAGCCAAAGTGACTGGTGAATGTTGTGGCCTGTGGGCTTCTTGTTTGAAAGCATTTCCATCAAGGAGTTTTAAAGATATAGCCTTGACAATATTTCATTATATCATTGACCTTAAATATATTACAGGATATTTATAAGCTTGAATTTTCAGTGCACTACACATTACACAGGCCTGGATCATGAATTTTGTGTTGAAGGAGTTGATATTGGATGACAAGGTCTTCAGGGATAAAGGACTGGGGGGTGCAATTAGAGAACCTTATTTAAACAAATATATTTAAGTACCAGTCCGCGTAAAAATCAGACAAAAGTAATATTTAAGTGATTCACTGAGGTTCTCAGAATTCAATGATTTTCCACACATAGATTTCTCTTGCACTATGATCCATGAATGCAAAAGGAAAAATCTTTTGGATGATGGTTACTATGGAAACCTGGTCAAAGTAATTTCCTTAGCAACCAGCCAATTTTTCCATGTGAAAGGCCAAAAAATCACTTATTTTTAAAGCCTGAAATTATATATAAAAACTTTAACAATTATTCTTATTTACTGGTATGATAAAGACACACACTTTAGGTGTTTAAACAAAACAAGACATTGATATTTTATTCAAAGGTAGTACTGTGGTAGGCATTAGAAGATATACATGTTTTTGCATTTTTGCTGACTCAGCATTTTCCTCGATTTTGGCAATATTGAAAGTCAATTTAAAATTAATACCAAGCTAATACAGCTGTTGTGTTTATTTCACATAAAAAGGGAGGACTCCCTCTTTAAGACTCTAACTTTGAAAATGCGGGTTTTTTGAAAAATCCTATCCGTTGCTTAGCAACAAAGTTGGATGTTTTGATAATGAAAAAGTGAAAAATGGTAAAGAGTTGAGTCAAAAATCTTATAAATTGTTATCTTTTAGTTGTAGATACAATTTTTAAAGAAATAGAAAATAACTCTCATTTATTTAAAAAATGAATCAATAATTTATATTTATTTATCTCCATGGCAACAGAAAATTTTCCATAGCAACAATGCAAAAAGGATTATTTTTGGCATTTTTGTATAGAATTATAATAGATACGTCAAATAGATAATTTTTCTTTAAAATACAATTTGGCAAAACTGTCAATTTAATATGGGTTTAAAAAAGTATTTTTGTACTTTATTAACCCATGGCAACAAATCTGAACATTTATCAACCACTTTTGTACCCACAATATCTTTTTACATTCAGTCATTTTTGAGGCTAAATTTTAAGGGCTGAAATGAGATTTTCAACAAAAAACATTCTAAATGAAAAATAAATAGCTTAAGATACAATATTATTATGTATCAAAAAGTTTGTATGGATGACAAGATTCCATAATCAAATAATACTTGGGTTGCCATGGCAACATGTTGCACAATGTCCAGAAAGCAAATTATCTGTGACCAAAATATTTTATTTGAAATTTTGGCTTTCATTATTCATACCTTTTGCTTGCATTGAAATAAGCAAAACACTCGGGAAACTTTAACATTCATAATTTAAGAAACTGTATGTTTTTATGGTTACCATGGATACGCTTTGAAGTTAGTGTTGCTTAGCAACTGTGTAATATAACCAAATATTGAAATTTTCTAATGTTTGGGGAGAAAAACTTATTTTAATTGAGATTAATTCATCATTTTAAAATAATTAATTAAAAAATACTACAGCATTACATTCTAGAAACTTCAGTGGTGTATGAATGCTTTTCTGATTACATTTTGTTTGGTACCTGCCTGTCTGTTTGTCAGTAAACTTTTCACATTTGTAACTTCTTAAGAACCATTGTACCCAAACTTCCCAAAAAGTATCACTGGTTAAAGGATAATCAAGTTTGGTAAAATGAAGGGCCACACCCTCTTTAAGGGCGAGATAATAAAAATGAATGAAAATTTTATGTCATCATTTAAGGACCCTCTTTACACTGCACCCTAATTTCAGGGTACTTTTGTTTAGTTAGACTGACCCACCATTTGACATAAAATAGAATAATTTGTAATCTGCACTATATGTCATAATTTAAAATAAGTATTCGAAACATTATATTAGACTTAGATAGAGAAGCTGAAGACTTTACAATGTGTATGTACATGTATTCTGTATTTGAGTAAATAAAAGCTACTCTCGTTTTCGTTACTTCATTGTTTTTGAAGATTTTTCCTAGATAAAAAAAAAAAGGCACACTCCCTATATCAAAAATTAATTAGTTGATTTCAAATATCCATCTTTACGGTATATTAATTTCTCAAAGTCCAAAAAACATTTTTCATCAGTGTAAAGAGCGTCCTTAAAATTCTTCTCAAGAACCACTAAGCCAGCTAGAATATACGAAACTTATATGGACGCATCCTTGGGTAGTGTATATTCAAATAAAATTGTTTAAAAAAGACTCCGAAGGAGGGGGTTGGGGGTAGGATGAGGCCTTACTATACGATCAAAGATTAATATGGAAATATATAGGAAAGGATCTTCTCATGAACCACTTAATAGAGCAAATTGCATTAGACCTAAAGGATTTCACTGTTTGTGACGTGCTGACGCTTTGCTTGTCGAGAAGTTTAAATACTACGTCACATTGTTACCACATCAAAGGAAGTAACCGAGATCGCTTCTCTCCCACGCTAAAGTCGGTCAACTGCAATACACATCGCCGACGTATAACGGGTTTATAAAAGGGGACAGACAGTCCAGCCGTCCTTTTATTGAATATTTCCTTCACAAATCTTTTAAAAACAATTGAAAATAGAGCAGTATGCTTTTTTTAGAGTCCATAATAATTGAAGTGATGCCATTGTATATATGCCACATAAAATGTGCCTGATGAAGCTGAATGTTTCCGTATCAGTCTTTGTCATGGATTGTAGTAGTTTGTTTCAAACACTGTTGAAAATAATGATTTTTCTTTGAAAAAATATATTCCGTGTATGTATTAAACCATGAACTGAAGGACTTTAGAACTGAGTGCATAGATCTACATGTATACCCCAAACAACCTTATCATGCGCGGATCTAGAGGGGGTTCGGAGGTGGTCCGAAAAGAAAAACGCATGTGTAATAGCTTTTTTCTTCTCTCTCTCTCTTTCCCTCTCTAAGAAAACCTTTTAGTGGCTGCATACAGTCATGTATTTCACTCTATTCTATCATTATTGTGTGAAAAATAAATAAATGATCTAGTATTTTCATTAATTTTGATATTATGACAAGATGCTTTAGCCTTCGGTCTACATGTCATATACACGAATCAAAAATGATATTTCTGTGGGAAAATCGTTTTGGGGAGGGGGGGGGGGTAATTTGGCACTCTTATTTCTTTTATTATATAAATTATAAATCAGTTTATCAGTTGGCAGAGTTTAAGCCCATTCTCATTGCTCATACAGACAGACTGCCGCAGGTTTTTTGCATGAGAAAGTTTTTTTTAACAATACTGTGTATTACGTAAAAGAGACACTTTTTAACGCAATCCTTTATAAAACTGAGAAAGCAGTAAGTACATGTATACCCATAATAAGGAACACAATACGTATTGAGTACTGCGTACACAGAGATTTTGCAAACATCCTCCATTGTGTGTATGTTTGAGGGGGGGGGGGGGTTAGAAAGGAAACAGGTGCGATTTCAGCAACTGTGAGACAACTTTATCACATATTAATACAGTGTTTAATAATTATGCGATGCAATTTGTTTTCTAAGATCTTATGCGTGTTGTCTTACTTTATATGCTTCAGAATTAACTAATACGACGATTAAAGAATATGGCATCCTAAATATTTATCACCAATTCGTACTGGAAATGGAGTATTTATCTTGTTTTAACTCAATCAAACTATAAAAACCAATTGATATTATTCCAAATCCTTGATGTGTTACATACGGCATAGACTCGAGTAATTGGCGACAAAAAGTGGGGGGAGCTCTCACTTCAATCCGATTCGTTTTTATCCCTTCAAGTATGTTAACGGGCACATAATATAAGAAACCCCTCCGGGCCACTTTTTTTTGGAACTCTAAATGGCAGTTTTCTTTACCCCCCTCCTTTCACAAAAATTTTTTTTTCACTGTTATTATTTTTTTATGTATTGAAATTTTCATTCGGAGGCCTGTTTCACAAAAGCCCCCCCCCCCCAACTTTTCTTTACAGTCCAATCTAAGCTCTTCCATGTTATTGTGTCTAAAAAGTGACGAATATGA